GGTCATAGATACTTATTGCTCATAGATATTTACTCTTCAGAGCTACATACTGCTCATAGTTACTTAATGCTCATATCGCACTTATGTGCATATGATTCCCAACTGGTACTAACATCCCCGGAACGAAGTGACTGCTGCCAGCCAAGTCCCAGAAATGTGTTGTTTCATAAGTTGCAAGTCATTGTTTACAAGTGCTCAAAGTTAGTAACTGATCATACGTACTTACTGCTCATCGATACTTACTGGTCAAAGAGTTCAGAGTTACTTACTGCTCATAGCTTATTACTGATCATAGTTATCTACTGATCATAGTTGTGTTCATTGATACTTATTGATCCTAATTACTTACTGCTCATAGATATTTACTGCTCACTGCGTTGCAAAATTCTGTCAGAACTTATAATACCCTGCAAGGGTATAAAAATATTTAAATAATTTCATAAAAGAAACTGGAGGATACAAATTATGTTACACTACAATTTTCAACTGACTAACACCGCATTTTTATTTATTTGCTTAAATCTAAAAGTGCTTATTCCATTTTCAATTAAAATTGAATTTCCCTTCACGAATTCCAGGCGAATTCCAAATTCAGAACACACCCGATGGATGTCAATGTCCTGATCCTGTCAAAATGATTTCGATTTAATCGTTAGGAAATTTTCGCGACATTCAGAACAATTCCTCTATCAAAGCTAATTGCTCGGGGCATTAGTGGAGGGAAAAAAGGGAAGGAAAATGGGAAAATTGAGAGAGAGACAGGACGATTTGTAAGGGAAAATTGTCACCATATGCGTCAACACGCAATAATTCACCAGAAAAATAATCCAAACAATTGACCAGACTTCCCCTCCTATATATCCTTCTCCCATCCTCCTCTAATGGCGAGGGTGTGTCGTCCCTTTTCTACGCCTCTGGCTCTGGATTTCTGGATGTTCCTGTGCCGGCAGCAAGTGCCACATCCACACCCACCCCCCAACCCTTAACCCCCCGAATGCCCCTCCTGCAAACGCTCTTTTGGTGTTTTGGTGCTAATTGAATTCATTGCTGCGCTGATCAAGTGCTGCCAAACAACAACAAATCATCCCCAGAGGCTAATGATACCAAACGACTGAAGCCCAGACTCAACGTACATAGTAGAGGGCGGGGGGCCACCATGGGTTAAGGGGGTGGCCAAGAGAGGGTTGCTCTGGACCAACTCAGCTTCACATCTTTCCATTTCCTGTTGCTGTTCCTGTTATTGCTCGGCGTTAAATGAAATTAGAAAACCTTATGCTGAGTTAATTAGCAAAATTTAACGTAGCACTGAGGGGATTCCAGAGGGGTTGCAGGTAACAGGGGAGAGACGGTAAATACTTGAACAGGTTCTGGGGAAATCTCCGGGAAAAAGTAATTATGGTTTCACAAATATTTAGTATTGTTTTTAATCAAGTTGAGTTAAATATTGGTAATTATTTCGATGTAAAAACAATAAGGAATCATTGCTTATATACCAGTAAGGAAGTTGTCCTTAAAAACGTATCAATAAAAGGCAAAAGTATTCTAGTTTCTTTATTATTAAGAATATTTGAAGTTAACTATATGCTTTACTTCCTTTTTACCTAAAATAACACTATTATTGATTATCTGCATTCTAAAGAGTTTGTAAAAAAAAGGAATACAAAAGTTATTACAAAGTAATACTAAATTAAATCACTTTTAAGTTAATTTTTACTTTTAAACCCATACTAGAAGAAACTAAAGCTTGATGTATAATACCAAACACAACACAAAACTATATCAGGAAAACTATCGTTCTAAACCCACAATATGCGCATATGTGCCTACTTTCTATGATTATAGCCCCTAATAATTAGAAAGGATTTGTCCCAAAACGATGGCAATTAAAAACGGAATGCCGCCCATCAATTGTGATATCAATCGGGGCCAATCAATAGGGCACCGCAGCATCCTGACCCGCGCCCTCTTCCCTCGTCCTGGCAGCTGACAGAGCAAACAACCATTAGCAGCTAGCTGGCTAACGAGCAATAACCGCTTAGATGCCCCCAACTCCGACTGCGATCCCCCAGACAAATGCAAATTTGACAATAATAAAATCCAACATATGACAATAATCGCACATATTTGACAATAAAATTGAAAATCGAGGAAAATTCTATTGGATATTAGCGCAAAGAGAGCTGTGAAGAAGGATGGTTGGATGAGGGGGAAAAGTGGTGTGCTAAATCAGTAAAGCAAACATCACATATAACAAAATTAAGCATAAAATGTGATCATCTGTGTTGACATGAAGATCAAATTGGGACCGGGGACTATAAAACTATAAATACAGAAGAGGGTTGGCAATCACTGAGAGAAAGGAATGTAAGGATGGAAATACCAGAGAAGGATTCAGTTTATCCATTATCTCTCTATAACAAAATATTTTCTAAAACCTTTGTTTAGTAGCATAGGTTTGATAAAATATATTTTATTATTAATTATATAGTTATTTAATTTGATTTTAACATTATCTTCAAGGTTTTTACAATAGATATTAAATTACAAAAAAAATTGCCTAAAATATGTATTTATATTTTGAAAATATGAATGGAAGAAAGGACTATTAAGGACTAATTCAGGAACTTGCAACCCTGTGGAGGAGTGATTTCCGACACTATTATTCATATCTATTATTGGATATAAAAATATCTATGAATAGTTATGATAGATTTCAATTAGATCCTATAATTTAGTCCAATAAATGTATATGGTAGCTCTGTTTTCTCAGTGTAACTGATGACGTTGCCCAACAGGGGATAACCAAATTGTAACACCAGCAACAATGGCAACCAAAGTCAGACGGAGAAGGGAACGAAGGGTCCGGGGAAATGAACCCTCAATTCAAACGGCGATTTTCTGGGTGTGTGCCTTCCGCAACTCCGGCACTGGTGTGTTTATAGAAATTATAACTCACATTTAATTTGCAACAGATGCGACAATCAGCAGCGGGCATCCCGAGAGGACCGAATCCAACCCGAAAACCAATTCCAGTTCTACGGTTTGATCTTTGTCACCCTTTTTCCTGGCTCTCGCCGGGATTATTCAATGAAATTCTCCTGCTGCAAATTACCCGCTAATAGCTCAATGAATTGAAATTAGGGAGAAATCTCTCATTCCCATTCCCCTCATTCATTGTTTCGTTCTGGTTCAACACATTTGGCCACTTCAAGGCAAATCAAAATAAAGCGCAGCATCAGCAACCGCAGTCCATGGTGCACAGTGGGTTAAGATCAGAGGAGAAAGGTGTCTAAGGTTCAGTGGGTAATGGGTTAAAGTGTTGACAGAAAAGTAGCATCATTTAATGGGAATTTCATTGAGAACTTTGTTACTGGTAATTAAAAAACAAAGCATGCTTTGTGTATTTTATTTAAAGCAGGAAATTAAACGATTTTTAAAGCAGTTCTTGAAATTAAAAATTTATATAAGTTTTTTCCATAAAGTTATTCCCAAAGCCACTGTGCAACATATCCTTATACTCTTCCCTACAACTTGTAGTATATCTTTCATTTATTTATACAAAAATGTGCTACGTGTTCAGAGCAAGAACTGAAATGAATTTTTATTAGCCCATCAAATAACAAGAAACTGCTGCATAATAACAACAACAATAGCAATAGATCAAACAACCAATAATAACAATATAAAGCATACTTCAAGGCAAACCAACAGGAACGATAAAAACCATAGAGTCCGTCCATGAAATACTTGAGAATTACGTGATAAAGTGGAAGAACAAGACTCTCCAATAGAACATAAATGGGTTTGAGCTTGGGTTCGGGTTCTGGTTCAAAAATATAACAAAAAAGTAACGGATAAAATAATAATAGGAACAAATAATAAGAGTACTCAGCTAATTGTACTTATGTCAATATAAAGTAATTAGAAGATGATTATTTATATCGAGTTTAATAATACTTAATCAAGACTTAAACCTTGCACGACTCTATAGCATTTAAATTTGAATAAATTAGAATTTTATATATGAGAAATATGAATAAATTGATAAAAACCCAGATAATTCACTCCTATTTTAGAAACTTCCCCACAGCTGATCCGAGTTGAATCCAGTTCAAACTCTTATCAATGATTTGAAATGCAGATAATAAATTATATGACTCGTCTTCTGGCGGAAATTGAGGCTCACCATGATTTTTTCAATTTGATCTATACTATATATACAAAATGTACCCCGAAAGTGAGCCAAATCGAAATCAACAACCGAAGTGGCTTCATTGTTTGTGCGTTAAGTTGGCTACATTTTAATTAGCGAAATAATTTTGAAGTGATACTATAAATTTAGTCATAATTATTGTCTCAGCAATTAACTTGATTATCTTGCGCACATTTTGATTTATTTGCAACGATAAGCCATTATCGCAAGGGCCCTCGGATTGTCAAGAAATTGAACAGAATTGTGATTGGAAATATATTGTGGCTTCAAAGGCTCCTTCTTTCGCCTTTTTGTTGTCCGGTGTATTTATAAATTCGGTGCCACAGACAGCTCTTGAAGACAGCCAGATTAGATATACACATGAATATATATTAAATGTATATATAACTATATTATTTTTGTAATCTTAACGAGAATTTTGGCTTGGCGCTGCTGGGGGATTAATAGGTTTATGGTTTTAATTTAAAGTTGGAGCTCTTTGTTATTGAGGATTGTTATACAGGAGAAATATATTCATAAATTACCTTGTTAGTTTAAAAAGTATTTACCTTTAATTCTTCAATAATACTCTTCGATGTTATTACAATATTATCCTTGCTTGTTCCTGTCCCAGTTTTCGTTGTTCCAGTTTCCTAAAAAGCCCATAAATTACTCCCTTTTCACAGCCATGTCATGTTTTTTCGTGATTTATTTTTCCAGTTTTTTGATTTCGAAAATAAATTCATTACAATTTACTAATTCACTCGCAATGCGACAATTTACATTGTTGTAATTCTTTTATGCTTTTCCACCATTGCTGTGTGTGTGTGTGGTTTTTGTTAATTTTAAATACTACAATTACGTAATTACAGTTATTTACACAAATTACACAAGCAAATTACAAGTTGCCCAACTAAACTTAACCGCATTTAATGTAATTTATTTACTTAAGCATTATTCAAGTAGTTAAGATTTATGATTACTTTGTTACTTATTGTTATGTTCCTATTTAGATTTATGTTTATGTACATACAGGGGCTTGTAGTAGGTGTGGGGCTGGGGAGGCTAATGAATTTAATTTATATTTCTTGTTTACATATATCACACAGTGCCCCGCTTTGTGTTGGCACAAAATAAAAATAATAATAAATGGCAATCGGAACCGAAATGAAAACAGATTTCAACGGATTGCGCAAACGAAAAACAGGGTGTCGCGCGCGTTCCAAGTGTTTGTTAGTTAGGGTAATGGGTGGGACGGCGGTTTGATCGCGGCATGACTAGATTGGAGCCTCCTCCAGGTCACCATCTCCTCCTTAATGCTACTCCTCCTAACTGGCGGCACTCGGCTGCGACTGCTGTGCCTGCGACTGCGATTGCTGCTGCTGCTGGGCTTTGGCCCGCTCCTTGGCCTCCTGCTGGGCCTTCTTGGACCGCTTCCACTTCATCCGGCGGTTCTGGAACCAGATCTTCACCTGCGTCTCCGAGAGCATCAGTCCGCTGGCCACCTCGAAGCGTTTGGGACGGCTGAGATACTTGTTCTGCTTGAACTGCTTCTCCAGCTCGAGCAGCTGCTGGGAGGTGAAGGCGGTACGTGGTCTCCGGGTCTTCCCCAGAATGGCATGATGCGGATACGCTGCCAGTTCGGGGATGCGATGGTGGAGCATTCCAGCGCGGGCCAGGAACTCAAATTGCAGCTGCGAGGGCATAAAATTGTGACCCATGGGGATCTATAAGGGAAAAAAAGGGATAAAAATGATTTTAATTAATCTGTGTTCAAGGAGGAAATGAATTGTGTACTTATTTTGGGAGTTCTTTTCTAAATGTTATTTTAAATTTAAAATTTATGGGTTACATTCAAATTTTAAAAGATCTGAAATTATTTAAATGCCGTATTTCACATTTATAGACACCTTTAAACAAGTTTTGCAACTACTAAATAGCATTAACTACAAGCATACTTAAAAGTATGTTATATTAATTAGAAAATCAATCATTAGGTAATTAAACTTACCGGTATAGGCTTTCCTGATGGGTCCAGAGGTCTGTGGAAGGCGGAACCGCCCTGTGCCAGCAGCTGGTAGGGATGTCCTCCCGCATAGAGTGGGAAGTCCTGCGGCCGGATGGGACTATGCGGTGGCACCGGCTTCTTGAACTCATCGTGGAGATCGGACATGCGCATGGACAGGTGATGTGGATGGAGGCCACCGCCCTGGGGCTGCTGATCCTCACATCCCGGACTGATGGGCGGGCTGGAACGATGCGAAGAGCTCGGCGATTCGGATCTATAAAGAGCAGAGATAGGAGTTTAGTTTGAGACACCCTTTAAAGGCAATTATCTAACCCAGTGATGACTAGCGAAATTACGCGACACATTTTGAAAACAATTAATGTTACTACCTCTTTTGCTACCCTCTGCCCGCTTTTGTCTAATTTGTTTGCTTTTGTACACAATTCGCACTTGAAAATTAGCCACTCGCACACTCATGCCAGCGGACACATGGCGTATACGTAATCTCTTTGGCCGATGACCAAACTGGAATTGACCAATTGACTTGGCTTTTGGTTTGCCATGTTTTCGAGTGCTCTGGCACAAAGCTGCTTTGGGGCTTCACTGGGACTTTGCTTTTGGCTTTCAGGACGCTTCTTGCCGAGTGCCCCGGTTTTGTTTGTCCAAAGCCTGTTGGCTACCAAAAGGATTAACCATGAATGCATATAAGGGGTTCATTGTTAAAGTTTTGAATTTGTTCTCGAATTGGTTTTAAGTCGGGGTGTTAGCAGTGAACTAATGAAAATTAATGACTGTTACTAGTATATACTCAATCGATTTGGGTACATTATTTTTATTGCTGACTTAATTGTCTTAACAGATTATATCAATAAATTCATTTTGCAGTGCAATTTGATACTGTGATTAATGTATGAGGTTGTTTTAGGGGTATTTTTGTATAAGATGACTAATTATATTATCAGTATACCACGGAAGGCATTAGGTGTTATTTTTAACAGATTATTTCCTCAACTAAGGAATTAAATAAGTAAAGAAATATCAACAAATTGTATTCTTTAAAGTGCTATTCAATCACATGATTGATTGATTCAAGTTGGACTTTAACAATGTTATTGCATCTCTGATACATTTCTAAACAACATTTAGATACCCAAATAAATAGTATTAAAATCTTAAAACTAAAAACTTTAACTTGTAACTTTTAAAACAAGAATATCCAACTAAGTATACATATGTATAAGATATTTAAATGATTTCATTTGCCAATTTCATGCACTTTAATACTTTAAATTAAATGTATGGTAAACATATTATTATATAACCTAATTTAAAACTGCCTTCCCTCTCTGTAGAAGATTTGCTATACTTAGTAACACAGATTTTCCGCATAAAACCTTAATTGAAATGAGAAATTTAAGCTGAAAGTTGAGTTAATCAAAAAAATTCCAGAAATTTTCCCTCTTTACTAACATAACTAATTTACCCCCCAAACACTCACCTTGACATGCCGTCGGGACTGGGTGAATCGTACTCCCGAGACTCTCGGATGCGCTGCAGTGCCTCCTGTTCGCTGATTCCGCCGGCGGCTGCGGCAACCACATGAGCCGCCGCTGCCGCATTGGAGGCAGCCACAAAGTCGTGGTTCAGCTCCGCCTGATGCCGGGCATAATGGATGGCGGCCAGATGACCATCCACATTGATGGGTTGCGGCTCACCCGCCTGATGCTGGCTCTTGGCAAGCAAAGCGTCGATGCAGAAGGACTTCTTGGGCTGACTTTGGGCAGGTGGCAGGAGAGTGGTTCCCATGGTGGCTCCACTGTGACCCAGATGATTGCCAGGCGGCTGTGGCGAGAGCTGTGGAGGAGCTGCTCCTGGCGCTGCTGTTGGTGGCACATTTCCCGGCATCATGACCGCAGTGAGGGGAAGACGTGGCAGGGGATAGGCACCCAGTGCGGGATGCGGATGTGGCACATGATGTGGCGGTGGTGGCGGGAATCCCTCGACGTAGAGACGAGCATGTGGCGGCGGCGGTGGCTGTGGAGCTGTACCCACTGGCAAGGGAGCAACCAGGAGAGGCATGCCTTGGGCGATTTGATGACTCTGACTATTATCCGCTGGAGAGCTGTCCTGGACACCACCACTGGGACTCAATCCCGGTGCATAGGCGCTGAGGGCGAGCCTGTAGTGGCCGTGGAGTGGCTGGGACTTGCTGCCGGCGGACTGGGACTGGGATCGTGGGACTGGGATCTGGGTGAGAGTGTGGAGTGACTGCTGCTCTGGTCGTAGTCCTGGGCAGCTGGCGGGGAACGCTGGCGATGCAGATGATGGCTGCTGCTATTGCTACTGCTGTGGTGCTGATGCTGGTGCTGGTGGATGTGGCTAAGCAGGAGTTGCGACGGCATCGAGGAGTTCCCACTGGCAACGACGGTGGTGGTCAGCGGCGGCGGTGGCGGCTGCTGCGACACTTGGGCACTGGACATGCTTCACTGGGAGTCACCAGAAAGTCTAGTTTTCGCGCTGGGTATATTTATTATTTGTAATTTTTTAAATCCCCTTTAATAATACACTTTTCAAACACGCTGCGTAAACGGTTCGCGATCGCACGTCGCTGGTTTTATCTTTGTTCGAAGCGAAACGAACTCGACGAGCGCTCATTAACGACTGTGCGCCGCTGGAACCCAAACGTGGTATCATATACTACGAGGGAATACGAGTCTCAACCACCGGAACCATTAGCACCACCATTCACCACTCTCTCGCTCGCTCGTTCGCTCGCTCTCTCTCTCTGGAAAGCCACTTTCAAGATGGAGTATGTGCTATTAGTGTGCGCAGGCGGAAGAGAGATGGTACTATGCCATAAGGCGTGGCCTAATGGCATAAAATGTCCATTGAGGGCGGAGCTAGGGCTAAAACAGAGAGAGGGAAGCAGACTAAGCGTGTTCTCCAGGCGAAAATTTCATATAAATTGTTGGAAAAACGAGGCTATAATTGCCATCATTATGGAGTGTTGAGCAACTAACAAGTTCAGCGGCAAAAGACGTAAGAAGAATCTTCATAATCAACTGGACAGGAACATGGGAGGGTGAGAGTGGAGTATAGGTTGAGAGGTCGTCCTTAATGGCAGCAAAAAGAGGAGCCAAAGGACAGGACTCAGACGGAAGTCTGGCAGATGATTAGGGCAGCAATTAAGGCACTCGACTGGGCCACGATTTAAGCTCTGCAGCGGCAGCAGCCTTAAAGACCCATCAAAATCGATAATCTCCTTTCGCTCCTCGTAGCCATAACCATAAACTGTTCGATTCATTGGCGTTTTTACAACTTGCTTGACTTTCCGGGGGCTACCGGGAGGTGCCCCCTAATGCGTAATGCCCCATAATGCAGTCTCCTTGCCGTGTGCCTGCCGGTTTACGACACTGAATGGCGACGGGTTTAATGTTCCCTTGATGGATTACTAAGTGGACATGAATGGCTGCCACCAAGTGGCTGGGAGTTTGAGAGCCAGACAACAGCCCATAGAACAGCAGTCAATGGTAAATGGATTAAAGGAGAGTTCAGGGAGGATTTAAGTAGTAACATTATATATTATAATTTATCAGTTTATCAGAGTATTAACTCAAAAGCTAACTATAACTAACTAACGACTTTCGACACGTTGAAGTTTTTATACCCTTGCACATTGCAATTTAATCACTAGGAATCGATACAATATAATTTATATAATTTTATGTTAAAAAACATTATATATCATCAACCGTTCTGCACTTTCCTCAATTTTTAACGATCGTTTGTATGGCAGCCATATGATATAGTAGTCCGATTTTCATAAAATTGTACTTAATATATAATGGCTATATAATATATAATGGCTATATATCAAATTTAATGAAAATCAATTGAAAACTGGAAAAGCTATAATTTTTTTCTTAAATTTTCCGATCGTTCCTATGACAGCTATATATATGTAAATATATAGTCCACCGATTCGCTATACTTCGTCTTATATTTTAGTTTCATTAAAATAGCTTAAAATTGTTTCAAAACAAATCTCGCACACTTGGGCATATGATTCCCAACTGGTTCTAACATCCCCGGAACGAAGTGACTGCTGCCGGCCACGTCTCAGGAGTATGTTGTGTTACAAAAGTTGCAAGTCATTGTTTATTAGTGTTCAAAGTTACTAACTGATCATACATACTTACTGGTCATATATACTTACTGGTCATATATACTTACTGGCCATATTTACTTGCTGATCATAGATACTTACTGTTCAGAGTTACTTACTGCTTATAGATACTTACTGTTCAGAGTTACTTACAGCTCTCATAGTTACTTAACGCTCATCTCGCACACTTGGGCATATGATTCCCAACTGGTTCTAACATCTCCGGAACGAAGTGACTGCTGCCAACCAAGTCTCAGAAAAGTGTTGTGTTATAAAAGTTGCAAGTCATTGTTTATTAGAGTTAAAAGTTAGTAACTAATCATTCATACTGGTCACTGGTCATCGATACTTACTGGTCATGGATACTTACCGTTCAGAGTTACTTACTGCTCATAGCTAATTACTGATCATAGATATCTACTGATCTACGGTTAACTACTGATCATAGTTGTGTTCATTGATACTTAATGATCATAGTTTTTTCTGTTCATAGATACTTACTGGTCACTGCGATGCAAACTTCTGACTAAAATTAAAATACCCTGCAAGGGCTAAAAACTTGAGATTAAAACACGTATCTATTTTTTATATTTGTGTTTAGTTCTTATTCATATGTTAAGTGCTATTAGAAAGTATCCGTAGATAACTTAAGTGTAATCTTGGTTTAAAGTCCCCAGCATCGATTTGTATAAACAATTTGACCAAACTTATTTTCCAACTATTCCTTGTGGCTCCCCATTTTACCGAAGCACTTTTTAAATTCTATTTATTTATTGTTTTCCTAATTTGAAGCCTTAACCCTTTGCCAAAACAAACAGTGACCCCAGCAGATGGCACAAGAACGAGAAAATTCACAACTCAAGAGATCTGTGAGCACCATTATATATATTGTAGTACAAGAATATATATCATGCAATGTCCAGACAAAAAAAGAGTTGAGGAGCATGAAAAGCAGGAAAACTGCTCGCTAACAAGAAACGTGCCAAAGTGTATTTTCTTTAGCCACGTACTTCGGACCTAACTCATTCCCAAATTTTCCGAGACCCCAAGACCGAGCAGAGAATGTTTTCCCAAAAACTAACTCAAAATTAGTGCGATGTCTGCAATGACGACTGATTGCTGTTGTTTCCAGCCAAAGTTCCTATTCGGTTCTTATTTTATTTTCATTATACGATATTTATCTACTCATCCACGTGCATTTAACTGGCATTTATGGGTGGTGGTGGTGGTGGTGCGGGGTCCCAGACATGACCTGGCACTGGTCCATCCTGGCTCACTCTCTCTCTATATATGTTTATATATTTATCTCTGTATGATTTGTGTTATTCCAGAATAGTTTATTTTATATAACAACACAAACATGGTGGCCATCCGGAGTTATGGGGATTTCGAAATGAAGCTGGAGTTGAATTTAGAGTTGGAGGTGTGAGGATTGGAATTGGGCTTTGGTTTTAGTTGGGATTGTGTTTGTTACCAGGCTTTGTTTGCCTGATTACGTTTTGATTTTGGGGAAATGGTTACGTAAATATGCAATTAGAGTTTAAATTGTGTATGCCACAAAAAGAGGTGCTGGTGTGTAAGGGTAAACATAGTTTAAGGACTCAGAATATTCTAAAATGGAGAAAACTTAGAGAAAGTGTGAAAAGCAGAAGTCTAAAATTAGATGGTGATTTTTTGTGCATTTAGTGTGCCAAGACCATACATGATCTGTCAGTTTTTTCGATTTTACACACTTTCAAATTACAATATTTTTCCCCAAACAAAACATCTTAAAATTCCAAGTAAGAAAATGGGTAAAACCATTTGGGTTATACTCGCATTGGTCGCTGCTATCGTATACAGTGATTCCCAAAGCTTCTATGACGAGATGACCTGTGGAAATTGCTCAAGTGTGAACGATGAATGTGAAGTAACGTCGACAGGATGGAATTGTGAATACAAGTTTGATACCAGAAAGTTGATTGAAAATGGTGATTCTTCTGGCATACCAAAATCCCTAAGCAATGCATGCTTCCTGGCATGGAGTTTAAGATAAAGAGTAAATATAGTGCAGAACAAATGAGTTAACAGACTAAAGATTCTTTGATTCTAGAGGCTCTTTATGGACATTGTTGCGTTTGGTCCCCGAAAATTGGTTGTCAAAAAATAATGAAAAAGGATGACGAAAACCTTTGTTATCACTGCACCAGAGCCATTTGGTTACCAGTTATGGAAGGCTTAACGTGCCTTGTGGAAATTGGTATTTACATGGTGAAAGTAGCGGAATAATGTTCAAACCAGGGAAATTCCTTTTTATAAACAGGAATACTTTATTAATTTTAAATTTATAACCAATAAGAAATAAATGTAGATAATTTGAATTATTTATAACTTAGGGTGGAAGACCTCTTTCATGTAAGAAACCTCGTCAACATCTCTCAACCCTTTCATGATTAGCGTAAATATAAAATCAATGCAATTAGCCCCATTTTGAAAACTAAAATCAAGGAAAAGCTTTTACTGTCTTGGATTTCACCGAGGCACCCCTGAAATCGTTCTGGCTTAATGGACTAAACGCTAATCAGGCGTTAAATTTGCCAGCAAATATCGGCTGGAAATATAAATCACCAATAATAATAAATCGTCACATATGTTGCTGCAATTTAACTGATGCGGTCACCATGCCATTGCGAAAGAGATGGATGTTTTGGGATGGGAAAGAGAGGGATAATCTCCTTCGTGGACCTGTCATTCTCCCCTTTTTGTCGTGTTAATTCAGCCGATAAGTGAACAATAATGCCAGAAAATTTCAACAGATTTCCAAAGCCTTAGTTAGCTAAGTCAACAAAAACTCGAAGAGCTGGCAAAAAAATAGAGGAAGGGACAGAGGGCGAATTGGTAGCATCCGAGGGTTGATTGAATTGACTTTGACACTTGTATGCTGTAAATATATGTTTATAAAAATAGAAGGAGAAAACAAATTGTAAAAGACTTTAGAAAACATTTTAAAACAATAACCGCAGAATGAAATGGGGAAAACAACCCTTTGGAAGACCCATCATCCCATTTGCTCATTAATCACAGCCTCAGCCACACACCCCATGGGATTGCAATTGATAATTGAGTAAATATTGATGTGCAAATAATTGCATTAAATTGCGTTATCAATAAATAATTTTTACATTCCAGCAGTTATAAAGACACACAGCTATGGATACTTCATTCAGTTGTATCTAAAAAGTGGCAGATATTGGATTGGCTCATTATGTTGACAGAGTTGCGGGCACAGAGAGTTGTTCACTATATGTATTTGTGTGCATGCAAATTATTACAGCACTTTGGTATTTATTGTTTACCTTACTGTCTGCCCACCCACCTATAATTCTCCTGGTTTTCCTTATTTTCTGCAATACGCAATGGTTAATACAAACTGAGGTGGGTCAGCATCGAGCGATCCCTCTAATGTTTACTGAAAGTATGCAACCATCTCATTTGAACTTGTTTCTTAATGATTACTTCAAGATGTGTTCAAAGAATTTAAATATATTAATAATTTAATTTATAGGCTTTCTTTAATTTAAATACTCCTCAACAGAATTAGATTTAAACTGCCTTCACTAAGAAAAACAACAATTATTTTAAAATTTTAAAACCATAAACTACTTCCCACTTGCACTCCTTCTCCAGACACAAAGCTTGATAATTATAAATAATAACAATAAATATATAAAATTAGCTCATAAAGCATGCCTGTCCCGTTCATTTTGCAATCAAGGAAACGATCTACTTAAATTTTCATTATAAATCTACTATAATAAACTGTCACTCGAAAGGGGAAGGAGTTGGTTGAATAAATTTCAGTGAAAATGAATTGAAATAAATATTTAATAATATGGCAATAATAAAGTATTGTTGACTCACATTTTAATTGATTTCCAACATTGACAAAATAACTTTTAAATGAATTGCGAAGCCAGGAAAGGCCACTCCCCCAACTCCGCCCCAAAATACCGCAGATAAAGTTTATAATTGAGTTGTGTTTTTTTCATTAAGTGCGAGAGTTGATTTGCTTTTGTTATTGTTTTTACTGTTGACTCGCCAATGGAAGCAAACTTATTAAAAACTGATAAACTCAATTCAATACTTCCCTTCCTCATATGTACTATTATTTTTGTATTTTTAATTGATATAAATATATATATAAAACGTAAGAATTATGGGAACCATTAATGAGATAATGCCCTCACCTAAAACTTTAGGCGGCGATAATCCCAGGTGAGGAAATCGTTAGCTGAACGATTGCAAATTATTATTTTGATTAGAAAATGGGCCAGGTGAAGGGGTTTATTTCCGTTCGTTTAAGATTGTCGGTTTAGTTATAGGGCGTTACTTAAGTGATAAGTGTGATTTGTGGGGTCTAATAGGTTTAATTGGAACGAGAACTGTGAAGAAATATTAGTTGGAGCATTTTTAGGAATTAAATCAATACCTTAATAGTTTTTATTTAGTTATTCTATTGGTATATTTTATATAGTTATAGCTACAAAGATACAAAAGATGTGAGTTGAAGTTTAGCATTATTTAAGCAAATACCCTTTAAGTTAGAACATATCCAGATGCTTTCCTATAAAAGAATATAACCCAAAGTATATCCAAGGAATGCCGCAATCTTTAAGTATTCTAAGTTGAAACCACCACGATATCTATATCCCTGTTTATGTATAGCTTCTGTATCTGCATCGGGCTGCCTCATTAGCCACAGCGCAAACAAATTTCCCAGCCAAGCCATACCCAAAAACCCAAACCCAAACCCAAGCCGAAACCAAGTCGAGTTGCGTTGAGTGGAATGTGTGGTTCTGTTTGCACACATTTAAGATACATTTAGCTGCCGTTGCGACATCGAAGTTTTTTAACCTTTTGCCGGCAGATTACTTCCTCGTATATATGGTAGGACGAGTGTATATATAGTTGGGCCTCAAAATGCAGTGTGTGTGTGTTTTTGTGCAATGAAGCGCCAGACGATTGGAAGCGAAAGGTAAACGTGCACTTTCCGATAAGAAGGACGCACGAAAATCGCATTTTGATTTGTATTCCGTGTTTGATCAGAGACACTGGAGCGCAGATACATAGATACTGAGATACAGAGATACAAAGTGGCTTTCCTATTTGCCTGGCAGTTCGTAATTGTTTGCTTAAGTGCATTCAATCGCCAGATAATGACGGCTCCTCTCTCCTCCTGTTTTTATATCCCTCCATACGATATCGGATTCATATTTATATTTATTAATATTTTTGTACGTTTTCGGTTTATTTACTTTATACCTTTTCTTGGGTGTTGTTTGCAGCCACATAATTTATTATCTGCGCTTATCAATTCATATTTTATTTGCTCTCCTTTCTCCGGTGAGTTTTTAGGGCTTGAAAGACCCTTCAAGACTTCAACTTTAATTTCGGTCTTTGACGTCTATTATGATGGATTAATTTTCAATTATGAAAGCGCTCCCCTCGAGGCGAGAATAATAAGAATAATAGCTTATCTAGGCTGCCTTCAATTTGGAACTTTCTTATCGCCCCGCTTATATATCGCCAATAATCAATTTTCAATTAATTCAAAATCTCTTATCGTCTTAGGGGGCTTCTCCCCTTGCGGAGCAACTATATTTATGAAGACGAAAAAATTATAAAAATTTGTTTAAAGCCGCTTAAATGGTCGTCACATCACTCGAAAAGTTAAGAATTGAAGTTTGGAAGAAGTGCCGTAATCTAATCACTGGCGACGGGCAGCGATTTAATTTATATAATCAACTTGTTTTCATAATTAAAAAATATTAAAATTGTTTATTGAACACACACACCCTCCGGCTGATAGCGACCATTGCTCCATTTGATTGGATTGCGCTTATCTTGGCCTAATTGAAATTGCATTGAAATTGATTGATTCGCCCATAAACGTTTGACCAAATACAAAGTTTACCTCCCGCTTCCCACCTCTCCATTGTTCTAGTTCCTTACTTCTTTATATATATTTTTTTCACCCTTTCCTAATCGTTTTATTTGGTCCGTTCGATTTGTGGTAATCAGAAAAAATAGAAAGAAATACATTTCCCGAGCAGATGACAGCTCGGGCGGGCAAAGGTCGTCCCTCAAAGGGTCGTAAATCATTTGTCAATTGTAAATTTTATTTAAATGCGTCAGAAGGGTTCGGTTAATCTGGAGAGGTGTGATTGGAGCAATAGAATGTCAACTTAGACCGTCTGGTGGTAATTGAGGTTTCAACGGAAAGTGTCTTGGCTGTAGCTCATACAATAAATTGAATTGAGTTCTTTAGCATCCGTTCAATGGTTTTGCAGGGTTTTTTTTATTTTAAATATAAATATTTATAATAAATATTGTCTTAATTATTAATGATCGTAATTCCATTTACAAAGGTATACTAACTTCGTAATATTATGTTATTGTACTGGCAGTGAAAAGCTTTCCCTCTTTCTCTGTCTCTCCCTACATCTCTATCTCATTGGCTCTCCCTCTCTCTCTCCCTTTCTCTTTCTCTCATCTCTAAAATTTTTGGTATGTCCATCTCTCTCGCTGCATCTCAGGAGATACCCCTTTCTCTCTCTAACTCTCTGCCTAGCTTTAGGGATATCTCTTTCTCTCTCGCTCTCACTTTCTCTGTTCTCTTCACTCAGAGACTATAAATACAGGGCGCTGCCGTCGCTCTGGCCTCATTCTGTGCGCGGCCTTCCCAGTGTTTACATCGATATGAAAGTGATTACCCTTCGACCCCCAATTAACACCTGACCCATGCAATACATCTGGATAACCAGGAAGTCGCTTCCCTTGAAGGCCCTAGTTGAAGCCCCCAGAATATAACCTCACTAAAAGGAATGAAGCAATGATTAAAAAGGTAAGTCTTAATCATGACAAGTATATAAATTTTATAACATTACCTAACTCCTTACTAAATTATAATTTAAAGTGATACAACAATATGTATTAAGTATATCTAAAAATGTATACTCATGGCTAACAACCCAACTAATTATAAATTATTTAAAAGATCAAGCATGTCTTAAATTTGTAGGCACTTAACGAAAGTTTAATTCGTTTTCAAATTGATTGTTTCTTTTAATATTTCTCAACACTTGATTTAAGAAATCCCTCCATCAAACCCCAATCACTCCACTCATCATCCCAAAATGTCACGTAGCCCTCCCAAAAACGGCACCGATTGCCCTCAGACATTCCCACGTTCTTAATTAGCCGCTTGGCCATAGACACAAATGGCAAATAACAATGAAATGAAAACTAAGCAAATATCATAAGTTTTTCAAAAACATTTAGCAATGTCAAT